CTCCACCTTTCGACGCGCGTTTTTTAAAGTTCGATGATACAGAGTTGTTACGGACTATATGCTGCATTTTAATTTAGGTTTATGGTATCAAGGAAATAGTAGAAGTGGACAAATTATGATTGTCGTATCGTGGGTATGCGTTTTGGAGCATTGGACGGGGGGTTATTTGTATGTATAAAGGTATAAAGGACAGGGAATTTATTTTCTTTGATTGAAGTAGAACTTTCTAATTGATAAAGGTTGTCATTTCGTTTGAGCTTAACTTCAAAGGGGAAGTTATTTCATTCGAAAATATTACTTGAATTATGGATTATTACTGTCTAAAATGCTGTTAAGGATTAATGGCGCTTAAGGGAAGAATCTTTTACTACAAATTTGAACGTTCCACGTGTTTTTAAACTCGATTATCAGTCGCAAAAATGGGTTTTTTATGTGTATTGGGTTCAGAATGTGCGAAAAATGTGCGAACTTATGTTGAGGACATGGAAAGTAGGTAAACATGAGTCGAAGATCCTTAATTTGGATAGCACAATTTAAATTGGCGCGAAAAGAATGAAGGTACAAAGGCAAAAAACAAAGTAGTGTCAGTAAACGAGTGGTACCTACCTTCAGGAGAGCGACGGCAAAAAATGATACAGGGAAATGTTGAAATAAATGTTCTTAGGTGCATTATACGCAGATAAACACCTAGAAGTGTGTTGCTTCAGGCATGCAGTGTATTACAATTCGTATTAGTACGCCGTAGTATCAAAATATGACCTTAAAACAGTCTTATTAATCTCGTACTTTCATCGCAGGCCGACGGACAGCGTACTGTGACATAACATTCTTTCTAAAGTTCTATTTAAAAAAAATTGTACAAAATAGACGTAAATAAAATCTAGGAAGTTGACATTAATTTTCTACTATTGATGGCGTAATGATCATGTTCTTTCAATTTGCAATTGTCGAGCAGTATTAAATTCAGTAAAACCTATTTAGTTCAGATTGAAAATAAATGTTCCTGAATTTTCCGTGAAAGCACGGACCATTTTATTGGGGAAAATGGAAAAAATTGTTCTCCATATTTCCTCTGACGTCGGGCATGCGAACAGGCTCGAATTATGACGCATTATCGTAGAAGACCGACGATAACCGTGCATTTGGAGTGAGAACAAGCAGCCAGTATATCTTTGGAAAGCAAGCGTTTCAAAATGATTCACACGTAGATGCATTTGGCGAACGATAAACCGTGTTTTATTGCAGCCTCGCTTAAGGGATTTGTACGACGTGCAAACGACGAAGGTACAGATACGCGGACTCGAGGAGGTAAACCGACCGGGTTGGGGATGCGCTAATCCAATACCAGTTCTCTTAACTAACCCCTTCCAAGTGGCGTGACATGGGAACCGGCAACCGGAATCGAGTTAATGTAATTGAGAATTTTAGCGCCTTTTGCTCTCTCTCTCTCTCCTCTCTTTCTCCCATTTCCTCTTTTTCGTGATTGTTTTCCCTTCGGGCTATTACGGTCATTCCGTGTTCCGAAGGAAAACTGAAAAAGTGCACTACAGATTCATCGATTGCCGGTAAGGATTAATACAGATACCAATCGGTATTCCGCTGATTTACCGAGCAATATTATTTCTGTTAGGGTTGCTGGTCTTGAGAAGTACGACCTGTGAAATGGTTTATTGCGCCTTTACGGAAAGTTAACGACTCTTTTTATTTCCTTATTACCCATCTGTTTACGTCAGTTTCTTGTTTCGCCTCTGGCAATAACAAGACAACAAAACAAGAACAATGCACAAATACAGTTTTTTAGTAAAAAAATATATTTCGCGAAGGGTATTACAGATTATTATGTCAAATTATAAATCACAGTATATTAGTTTACATAGGTAGGTTACATTGCTTCATTAAATTTTAACTTACATCTATCATCTAAAGTGTAATCTACAGTCTAATAATTTCATTGTTTCGCTTAAAATGGTTTTGACATTACCGGTTTTGATAATGAGTTTCTTAAGAAATCCAACGAGATCGTGATCTTAGTCGACGTTTAATTGAAAAGGCGATAAATCAGTTTAAGCAAGTCGTTTGGATGAAACTATAAGTGACGATATCGCATCTATTCAAATTTACGATGGAAAGTTTCGTCTCCACCCTCAAAAGCGGTTGCAACGCACAGACGTGCCGAACCGCGACTTGAAAAGAGAGGGCGAGAGGGCTCGGCGAAACTGTTTTAAAACTCCTAGCAAACAGACATAAACTCTCACGCTTTTTAAAAACTCCTAAAAAAGTTACCCACCTAATGAAGCAGCAAACCATCGTGCTCGACGAAGGGGCGAGATGTGTCGCCTCTGGAAAAACAATGACTTTCTCTGTAACTGTGCGGATGAAAGTAAAAGGAATGCGCGATGAAAACAGTTCGAATACAATTGTTGCTTTCAAAAATCAGGGAATACATTTGACTAATTTGTTTATAACATACTTTATTATCTTACGATGTATTAGAAGAAATATTATTCAAGTTTTAAGTGCTCATTCTCCCATTGATATTTACTAATAAGTAATACGAATTCTTTTATTGGAGGATTAAAACTATACAAGTTAAACACATTAAAATGATTAATTGTCTGTGCATATTTTATTTTAATAATAACGGTACTATTACCATGAAATTTGATTATGCTTTGAAGAATTGCACCTTTAAAATAGGTGAAGAATGCGAACTAACTTTTTGCTTCCTTTAAAATCTTATAATTAAAGATGATTTTCTATGTCAACATCTGTTTCAAAAATATTAAACTGTAAATCGTTCCATAAAATCGATTTCCGTATTTACTTTTATTCGTTGTTTGAAACTTTATATTATTGAATTCAACTGCGGCAGTTTAATTCTACGGTGTTTATAAAATGGGACTGATTGTAACTTTACATTCCACAATATCAGATCCTATATTATTCAAATTATTACGTTTAATATTTAAATGTCTTTTAATGTTCTTTAATATGCAACCAACGAGTCATGTTTCATGCGATTTTATATCTTAAATTAACATATAAAAGTTATAACATTTACATTGATACTTATTCTTTTTGAGTCTGTACTTTCTAACGATTTTCGCATCTTTGTTAAACGTACATAAGTGACAACTTTTACTTAAGTATTACAAATTTTAAAGCATTTGAATTAACTTACTAATTTATCACTGACTAGCTCTTCTAATTTTTCTCGATATAACCGAACATATTTATATCCGTTATCAAAGATAGAATATTGTAACATTTTTTATTGAAAACGTTAATGAAGTTTTCATTTCTTAAATTTTACGTTTAAAATTGTTTTAATATGTACATCTGGTTCGTAAATATATCTACTCGTGACGACAATTTTAAATGCAATCGTGTTAAATGTTGCTATAATAATATTTTATAAAAGAAATATACATTACTTTGATTCACATTTCACCTTAGATAAAACGCCATCCAAAATGAAACCTGAGGAAATCCTGATCTTCGTAAATTACATTTTTAACAGTTTCAGTAGAATTGATGATCTTAAACAAATTAATAAGTTTTTGTCATGGGTGGCAATGAAACACTGCTGCGTTAAATTGAACAGTATCCGTAGCAATGCGGCTTGGGTAGCGAATTACATTCAGATATATTACAAATTGCTCATTATCTCCTGGCGCATTATGAATCACGTTGGAAGCAAGCGTAAATAGACTGCGCTTCGGCCAACTCGTAATAACTAACGCCCGGCGGTATACATTAACTGCGGATTTATTGTAATTCTCCGCGATTGCTTTATCCACGAATTCGTAACTGTATCCGTAGGTTTGTGTTATCCGCATATTTCGCCCGTAATGCATTGTGCGCAAATAGCATAGGTTGCGGCTCGTGTGTAAAGTATAGACTAGTCTGAGCAGTTATTCGGCGATCTGTTCTCTGAAATTGCCAACTAGTCAATATTTAAATGGGAACCGATAAAGGAAAAATAATGCTACGCGTTCAGTCATCGAGCTTAACTTTGTTAATACCTAATGACACGATACTTGTAAATCACTTTAATTTTTATATTCTTTGAGTATTTTCGAATACATCTCTTTTTGCTAGGATTACTATAACATTACAAACCTTATGGCTTGCACTTTACTATAATTCTATTATTTTTTACTTTTTAATTTACTTAATGATATTTCAATGTTTGAAGTGATAATTGTTACATCGTAAATACTATATAATCAAATGAATCGGGCTGTGGAAGACAGTTACTGTGGATGAACTAAGTGTGATTTGTAATTGATTGAATTATTAGAAAACTTATTTTCAAATTGTAAAATAATCGTTGGTATCATATTCTTGTATTCATTTTTCTCACTACTGCTTATCTCAGTTGTGACAATTTTTTAGAAGAGACAGGCACATTCATAAGGGTATGTAGGTAAGGAAACTTACCTATCTATTTACTGTTTCATATTCCTATAATTTCCCCTATTTCAAAGTAATCTTAAATACGGAAGCAAAGTTATATTTACATCATTATTACTATTAGTTTGTTTCAATTAATGTATATGAAACTATAAAAAAATATAATGAAGGATAAATGCAAAATTATCAAATCTTATGCGTTCATATAAATTAGAAAATAAAGCAGTAATTGTAATAAATTCAATATTCTGAAAATACATGTAATTTTGATACTTTATCTTCATTTGATAAAACAATACCAAATTGTAGAATTATAAGTTTTAAAGTTACACGCCGGAGGAATAGTGCAGCTATGTTAATAAATTCACTAAACACAATTTCCTATCAGATCCAAATACTTAATTTCTACGAATAAGATACATTCAAACAGTAATTTAATCATCTCTAAAA